AACCGACTCCCATGGATTTGCAAAAGACATGTACGTATATAGGGTGGGGGGGGGGGTATATGAATTGTATATCAAGCAAAGATAATGTAAATCCTCGCCATGGGAAAGCATTCGCGTGCACAGTGCATAGTGTCATGCGACATCCATAGCCAGATGTACGCCCAGCCACTCGCGTTTTCAGTTGTAATGCGTCCGAACGGTCTCTCCGAACGGTCTCCAAACGTGGTTGTCAACTTCCATCGATAAGGCTCATTCTTAATTCGCCTCACGACTCAAAGCAATTAGCTCATAAAGCCTGCCTTCCCAACGATTCCATTGAGTGATGGTATGGACGTTGTGAGTACTCAATATTACTGACAAAAGCACTGCCTTCAACCAGCAAATAGGTTTCGGCCTTTCTCATGGATAAGGCCATTTTCTAAAGACCTCAAGAGTCGCAGGTAAACCCTGAACCAAGCCTCGTTTACGATCGAAAATCACAGACCGAAGCGCGACGCACTCTCAAACCTGAACCCGTAAACCCCAAGCCTTAAACCTTCAGACTTAAACGCCCCAACTCAGCTTGTTGCAAGCTTGGAATACAAGGCTCGGATCCTCGGCCAGGAAGTCCCGGATCCAAGATTCAAGGTTCAAGCTGCCAGGCAAAGTTTCCCGGGCATCTTGAATCTTGACAACTTGGATCCGGGGCCGTTTGCAAAACGCTGAGTAAAACTGAGCAAGATGGTGATCCCCTCCCCGTTCCTCTGCCAACAGCGCTGAGATCATATTCGGGGTGGGTTTCAGGGGGATACTCTGTACATATATATATACATATATATATATAATGTTGTATATCTGTATATATACTTTTTATGCTTATATTGTGCTCGTTTCTATGAATCAAGTATATACAGATATATCTCTCTCTTCATATTTCCACCGAGGTTTGAAACTTCCTAGTTCCAGAGTGCCCCATTTTCTCACTCATGGACACTGAGGACATGCTCCTAAAGCCTCGCGCCCGGAAAGAGGGTTTTTCGCAGGGCTTTCTAGGGGTCTTGGCTGGGTACGGTGGAGTTGAAGATGCTAGGCGAACTGCCTCTGAGTCAGGAGGCGCGTGTCGGAAACGTCGGAGAGCGCGAAAGCCGGGGTCCGAAAACGGAGGAAGTTCCCCGCAAGAAAACCAGCACAGCCGCAAAGTTGCTCATCTCTCTGACGCGCTCACAAGGCTTTGGCACTCCCTGGACCCCTAAGCCTTACACCCCCTAAATCCTGTTTCCTGATGTCGCGTAGCTGGCGTGTCGTGTACATGCGTTAGTTTTGGGCCCAAGTATGGTTTCCTGATGTTCAGAAGCGCGTGCCGGAGACCTAAGGAGTCGTTGTTTGACCCGGCCTGTGCTGTTTTGCCTCTCGGGCCTGGTCTTTCTTTCTGCTTCGGTCTTCTTTTCTGACTCGGTCCACCCTGTCCTCGACTCAATTTCCCGACACACCAGGCAACCCACTGGTGACGATATTGACGATGCGATGTTCACAGCTCTTGAGTTCGTGACTGCATGACTGCATGTCTCCCAACTCGCGAGATCCTGCAAGGCTGGAAATGTGCCTCGTTGTCGCCGAGAAGGCCAGCTGAAGTGACAGTACATTGTTCACAATTGCTTCTTCTGAAGTCGGGCAGGCAATCCGCGAGCGGACAGGATCATTCCAGGCACCTCTCATGCCGAGTCTACTTTCAGACGCTCTGGGTTGCAACGTGTTGTGGTCGACCTTCGGTTGAACCAACTGAAGCCGTTCGGATGCAGAGTTCTGTTTGAGGTGATGCAAAAGCTCATTGCACGGATTTGTACTGCATTCGTAGGAGACCGACGAGCCTGGTGAGAGCGAAGAAGAGGAGGACGATGAGGGGGAGGAGGAGGAGGAAGAGGCCATCGGCTCATGTGGATCATGGTTTCCGTAGAGCGATGCGCATTGTAGCTGCTCCCTAGAGTTTCTGACACGGTCGACCGGTAATGCCAAAGCCTAAGCGAACCTCATCGATATCCACCATTGTCATGGAGCTCGCGAGAGTTGTCGTTTACAAGTCTTCTCTCTAGTGTTCAGCTGGGTCAACAAGCGACCCCGACCCTTAAGTGGTATGAAAATCAAAGAGATAAACGGCTGCGGGGGGGGGGGGGGGGGGGGGGGGGGGGGGGGGCCCTCCCCCCCTTATAGGAATTGACAGAATCAATCTCAAAGTGTCCGCCTTAACGGATTTCTGGGGGGGGGGGCACCCCCCCCCCCTTCCTCCCCCCCCCTCCCCCCCCCCTTTTTGGCCCCCCCCCACCGCCCCCTTTTCCCCCCCCCCCCCCCCCACCCCCTTTTCAGCCCCCCCCCCTCTTGGTCAGGCTCAGCCGCGTTTCTAGCTTTCGTAGCCCAGATCTCAAGTCTGATGCAGGAATATGGCTGATCCTCACGACACCAGCCGCTGAGACTCCAGTAGATGACACACGGCGCTCCACATGACAGGCGTCTGGCGCCGACGATCCCGAGGCGCAACCTCATTTGTTGTGCTAAGCTGGAGCAGCATAAGTCTTTCGTAACGTTGAAAAACCTCATTACCCATAGTGCTGGCGCACTGTTTGGGCACACGCCGCCATTCACTGTCTTGCTGTGAGGTCACCTCCACTGCCCTGCCGTCTGTGCAAGGTTCTGGACCCAGACAGTCGGTGAAGATCGGGTGAAGATCAGTGAGACTTTGTCCTTCTGTGGCCCTGCCCAGCCGCAGTCGACTGAGGCCTGCATGAAGAAGAGGAGGAGGAGGACGGCATTCCCAGTCACTCAGCACTCATGTCGGAACTTGGGCAGTTTTCACTTCATGAGGTATGCAAAGAGCTCTGCTGCGTACCTGTGTCGTGTACGGCATGTCGCACCGAAGTACCTTGCATGGGTTTTTCGTGTTGTCAGGCATCCAGCAATATCTTGCGATGCTGGAGCCCACCTACCTTGCACTGAGTGTGAGAGTCTGTGAGAACGCGTATCCTGGACAGGCACCGCCTTGTCTTCCCACAGGCATCGACTCAACCTTAGCCTTCAACCCGAAACCCTAAACCCTACCAAAACATCAACTTTAGCTCAACTTGAGTCGAAGATCCGTGCCCACGAGCCGGGCTTAGGGTTTTGAATGATGAGCGTCAGATACTCCACCTAAACCCTAAAACCCTAAAAACCCCAAAACCCCAAATCCCTAAAACCCTAAAACCCTAACATCCCTAAAACCCTAAAAACCCTTAAACCCTAAAAACCCTAAAAACCCTAAAAACCCTAAAGCCCCTAAAACCCCTAAAACCCTAAACCCCAAGTTCGGAGGATCTCGACGAGCCAGCATCCGATCCGCAGCGAGCTCGGCACAGTCATCAGGAGCATGTCTGCTTATCTTGCCTCAAGGCCCTTTTTTTTCTTTTTTTTTCGTTTCTAGGGTTTAGGGTAAAAGGTTGGCCCTGATTCCTCTTTAGGGTTTGGGGTTTACGGTTTATGATTACTGGGACCCAGGGTAGGCCCTTATTCCCCCTTTTTTTGGGCTCGAGGTTCCCTTATAAGCCCCTTTTCAACCAAAAAGGGGCACCCTTTTATTCCGAGGTTCCTCTTGGGGTCTAGGATGCTTCTCCATTGCACTACGGGCTTTGGCACATCTAACTACCTTGTACTTGTCAACGAAGTTGCCCGGTTTTTAGCGTGTAGGGTTTCGGGTAGGGTAAGGGTTTGTTGGATACCCTGACAGTCCGAGAACGTGGTCATGTTGGGTCACCAGTGCAAGGCCTAATTTTCCTGCCCCTTTGAGCAGAAGGTTCAACAAGCATTGCTGGGTACCAAAAGCGCTCTGGCAGATATGCACGTGGATAAAGGAGGCTGGTTGACCTTGCCGAGAGTGCCGAGTCACCCACAACCTTGGCAGCAGAAACGAGTACCTGCATCCATGAGCCAAACCGGAATCAACAGGTATCAAGCTGGCTCCTGGATTCTACGACTCCTCCTCCTCCTACTACTCCTCCTTCTACTCCTCCTACTCTGCCTCAGGGATGCTCACTCAGTTCTGTGCCGCCCAGGCCTCCGGCGATACCAGTACCGGGTGCAGGGATGCAGGCAAGGCCGGCATAAAAGCTGAGGGTTTAGGGTTCAGGGTTAAAGTTAGGGGTTTAAAGTTTAGGGTCTGATTGCAACCGGATGCCACTGCGCTCTACGTGCGTACCCGAAAGCCCACTGCTTTTGGCTTGATTCAGCGCCATTCTATACATCATATGCTTCTAAGTATAAGTAGACCTTTAGTTACAAGGCAATGTAAAACTTTCTTAAAGCAGTTAAATGAGTTCAAAAAAATGAACCACAAATACCCAAATCGTGTCCTTGTGTTTGTTTGTTCTAAAGCGGAAGGTGGCCCCTGGCCATGTCCCTGGGGCCGCCGGGGCCATGATTGGTGCAACTTGGCAGCTTTTGTGCGGAGTTCGATGTGTGCATAACATACATCTATGTGTTATTTGAGACAATATGCATACATACATATATATATATATACGTATATGTATATATATATATATATACATTTTTCAGAATATACAGAATATACCATATATATACACGCGCGTACTGAAACATAGAATGCAGATGATTTATCTGTGTACACCGTAATATGCAGCCTCCATATATTTTACAGATCATTCTACTACATCTATATACAGGTGAGAATACATATATGTATATACGCATATGTATGTTTTTCCTATGCATCTGTATGGGCATGTGTTGTTGAAGTAGTGCGAGTTCCCAAGGTTGACCTTTTGCCTGTCTTCTCATGCCAAGGAGAGTCTGGATGACGACAGCAGCTTACCTGAATTAGTTGTACCATCTACCCAGGGTTTAGTTTATGGGGTTAGAAGTTTTGGGGTCTAGGGTTTAGGGTGCCGGAAAAGTGTTTTTCTCCTGCCAGAGGTGATGCCGAGGAGCCCGAGTTCTTTTGGCGAGGGCGCGTCGCACCTCTTGCTAGGACATAGCGAGCAGATCTTTGGTGCGGCGGGAAAATTGTGCAGACTCTGCAGAGCTGGCAGCACACTGGTATTTGCGAAGTGGGAGGTCGATGAGTGCCCTCTCGTCGTAGTCCTCGCAAATGTCGGCTTGGTTTTTCTTTGGAAGGGAAGCATGTTCTCCTGCTGTGGCTGTAATGTCTCGTTGGCATAGCTCCCTTGGACTGCTTTGCATGAAGCACCAACCCTCCCAAGTTCCCCCCCTGCCCCTCTCCCCAAAGCAAGCTACAGCAGCGAAATGCCGTCACACCTTCTTGGCGTTCAACTTGCATCTAGTCCAGGCAGCGGGATTCGCCTTGGATCATTCCGTTGAATCGTTTCAAGCCTTAGCTCTTGTGATGAGTGTTCTTCACGGGCGCGGACTCGGAACAGCATGGTACCTGAGTGTGCCACTTGTAGGGCTAAACGCAGATGCCACTTTGAGTAGTACAAGGAAGGCGGCGTGTTAGCGCTTCTAAGTATGGCTGAGTGGAGCCGCGATTCGGGATGGTGCAAAAGCTGGTCATCCAGAGACTGGCGAAGCCGGGCGTGGCATCACGGGCACAGCCAGGGCTCGCAAAGGCCATTGCGGGTTACTGCAGGTCGTTGCATAAGGTTTAGGTTTGTTCAGGGAACCCTGAGCAGCAAAACCCGAAATGTTAAAGCCTTAACCCGAAACCTAATCCGAGCTCCTGTTTAATTGGGGGCGGGCCCCCCCTTTTTGCCCCCTCCCCCCCCCCCCCCCCCCCCCCCCCCCCACAATAAGGAATGCAGGTTCCGCAATAGTTGGACATGGTGTATTGATTCTCTATTAAAAAAAGGCTGCAGATCCCTGAGGTGCTGTAGCTTCGCATCTCCGCAAGCACAACAAGAAGCCTGCCGACAGATTTTTGAACGCCCCCCCAAAAAATTCCGTTAAATGGGGGGGGGGGGGGGGTATCCCCATACGAAATCCACCCTAAGGGAAAGTAGTCTTCCGGCGGGCTTCCGGCCGAAAAACATTTCTTTAAATGTGGGGGGTTTGATTAAACAGGAGCTCGGATTAAGCCCCATACATCCACCAAAACCTTCGGCCCCCACCAGATGGGACGAATGGGATGACCGCAATTGGGCCTGGAACTCCCGATGGAGTGGCTGGGACCGCGCTGATCGCGGCCGGCAGGAGCATCTGAGGGGTAGGCGTAGGACTAGAGTTTAGGGTTCAGGGTTGAGGGTTCAGGGTTTAGGGTTTGGGGTTGTAAAATTCTACGATACGGGTAATCGGTGTATCTCACGTCACATGTTCTTTTGCACATCGCTCAGCGTCTACTTGCAGAAACCATTTTTCACGCCAGTCTGCTTAAACCCCAAACCCTATACCCTAAACCCAATTAGGTGTCTCCTCGCAGTTTGAGCTGTTGCCGCGGTGACCCTGAGGTGTCCCTTCGGGCGTCTATGTGTTGTGTCGCTCGAGTATTACACAGTTTTCTGAGTCTACTTGTTCTTTTGGTCGCTGTGTATTTGGTCCAGAACCGGCTAATGGACTCATGTATGTATCCACTTGCCAGCAGTAGCACCACCGGCAATTCAATCTCAGCAAACCCCGTGCAAGCAACCCTTGTCACCTTTCTTTCGGGCATCGCGACATACTTCACGGCTGCTTGAAGAATCTTGAAGAAGACAGCGTCTCCTTTGGAATGCCCCGGGTTTAGGGTTTAGGGTTCAGGGTTTAGGGTTTAGGGTTTAGGGGCATGCTTGCAAGAAAACGAAAAAACCATGACGTCTGCCACATATACGAGTTTTTGCATGCTCTTCACGGCAATGATAAGACGCGGTGCCGCCTTGGGGGTTCGTTTCCCGATGCATAGCTCCTCCCTCTAATTGGGGTGATGCATATTCGCTCCAGATAAATCCATCACGTGGTGCTTTGCCGTTTGCTACTGGCTGTCTTGTTCCTGTGAAGGCATGTTTTGCCGGGTAAAGCGTGACGGAATTTTTCCTGCCCCTCGCCTCCCCGTCCAACTCCGCCCTCGACTCCCTCCCCCCGGTTTAGGGTTTAGGGTTTAGGGTTTAGGGTTTAGGGTTTTGCCTTCAACCATCCATGGGAAGGGCTGGACGGAGCAGCCCTGGATCTGTGAAGATCCGGTCCAGGAGGCTTGGAAGACTTGTGCGAACCAAGGGGTCCAGGCGCTTGGGTTGAGGGGCTTGGGGTTTAGGGTTCAGGGTTTAGGGGATTTTGGGCGGGTTTGGGGTTTTGGGCTTCGGGTTGTTGGGTGTAACTAGAGCTTAGGTTTGGGACTCCCTCAAGCAGCCATGCGTTGCTGCTTGTATTGGCAGCCCGAGGTACGGCAAGGCCACGCCGAGCCCAAGACTCTAGAATCCTCGTAGAATCTGTATTCTAGACTTGGGCAAGATGTTTTGCAGCGCGACAGCCGGCTTGCCAGGAACGCGCACCTGCTGACGAAGTGCTCACTGACTGCTGGCAAGCCGCTGACAGGGAACGTGAACAGCACATTGGCGCGCAAGGAGGCTCCGCTCCTTTTTATGTGTTGGGCTGGACAGTGCTGTTTTTGCCGGTGTCAGGGTTTGATGATGCGTTGTTCGGAGTTATGGGCTCTGTTGGGCTACCTTAAACTATTAGAGGGATGCATGTTATTGAGGAGAGACCAGCAACAAGCATGACTAGGACACCCTCCCACATGCATGCGCTCGGTGCCTTGGGATGATCTGGAGCTGTCTGATGGCGACGAGGTGCTTGAGCTTGTGCTTCTTGGCCACTTTATGCTTGAGTGCTTAAGCTGCTTGGGGTTGTTTTAAAGCTCCGATCCGAGCTTGTGCTGAATAGGGGGCGCTACAGAAGAAGTTGGCCCCTACAAAGGGGAGGAGGGGAGGTATGCTGGGCAGGCCCTTAGATCATTCAAGCATCGATGGCAGCCGTGCGTCTTCGAACTTCTGGCAGAGCTTGTTTATGTCATACTCGTATAGGCTGTGAAGAGTATCCTGGATTTCTACCCTCTGGGGCACGGTCGCTCGTTCAGGTCAGTTCCAGCAATGTGCCTTTGCAGCCGCATTACAGATACCCAAGCCAGTGCGAAGTTGTTTGCACTCAGGCCCCCGCCGCCCATTCCAGTACCAGCGGCTGACTTCCAGGTTTCCAAGGGTCTCTGGGCAGTTGCAACAACAACATCAACAACATCAGCAACAGCAGCAAAATAAGAAGGAGGAGAAGAAGAATACTAACACGAATAAATAGAGGAAGAATCAGAATATTTATAGTAATTCGAAGAAGAATAGTACTAATGGCATTAGCAATGGCCGTGGCAATTTGCATGGTAATTGTAAACGCTTGCGCGCGCCGCCTCGGCAGCCGGGCCGGCCCCAGGACGGGAAAGGAGGAAAGAGGGTTTCGCAAAAAAGGGAGGAAGGGTAGGGGGGTTAAAGGGGGGGGGGTGGGGGCGGGGGGGGGGGGGGGGGGGGGGGGGGGGGCCTGTAGGAGCCACCGACAATCGGGACGGTTTGCAGCTCCTCCAAGTGATTGGGGGGGTCCCACAGGGGGGGGGGGGGGGGGGGCGTCACAGGGGGGGAAGGCCCGATCCGGGTCTGCTTGTTCCAGACGCTTCTGGGCAGGAAGCCGAGGCGAATGACAATGACAGAAAGAGCAACAGTAGCAGCAACGGCAGCAGCAACTGGGGCACAACAGCAGCAACCACAACAGGGGGCCGTCAAGGACAAATACCCCCGGAAACGTGAATGAGCCAATAGATTGACAGTTGATACCTCGATGTCTTGAATATCCGAGAGTATAGCAGAGGTAGGCTCACCGGTGCTCTTCGGGAACAGTGGTCCTACCAGCGGTATATATAGGATTCCTGGACGCTTCGAACTTCTAGATTCTAATCCCCAAGCCGCCCTCAACCTCCCCCTTAAGCACCAGCAGAAACAAATCTTCAGTTGCCAGGGGCCCTTGGCCAGCATCATCCCAGGGGCGGCTGGTGCGATGATCGGCGAATCTCTGGCCTGAAAGGGATTGGGCTTGGGGTTCAGGGGTTTGGGGTTTGTTGTGCAGGGTTTCGGTTTCTTTTTTTGGGGTGCAGCACCATGCACCAGTCCTCGAGGATCCATTGGTCCGCAGGGTTGAGGGTTCAGGGTTTAGGGTTGAGGGTTGGAATCCTCTTCAATAGATCACTTCAGCTAGCGGTCTTCTACATCATGGCACAACTCAATGCCCAGGAGAGCCTTGACAATGACAGCCGCTTGCTTCAAATTGGAGCCTCTGCGTGTGAGCGTAAGTGCGTGTGTTTAGGGGTTAGGGTGCTTTTGCTTTCGATGCACTAAGCAGAACTGATAGCAGGGAAATTGGAGGAGACACACGAGGAGACCCATCGTGTTGTCATCCAGATTGTGCGATCCCAAAGTTACCCTCAAACAAGAACCATCAGATTCGTCGTCTGGGTGCGGTTTTTTAGTCAGTGAGGATCAATCAGCAGATACACATGAAGGCACTTACTTCGAACATCTCCGCCCCCTAGAACTCAGCGATGTGATGGTCAGGGTCTAGGAATCATTTGGGGTTGGGGGTTTCAGGGGATGCCAGTGAGGGATATTTTGAATTCTCTGGGATACTTTGGTGGCTTCATGACTTCATGTATTGTCACAATACATTCCAGCTGTCTTCCTTGAGCTCGGAGGCCTTTTGCGTAAGTCCATCTTATCACCCGTCCGTCTTATCAAGTCCAACTCCAAAAGTGAGTGACCCGAAAGGAGCTCACTGCAACTGTACCACGGCCGAGGTGACATCGAAGTTGGTGAGGCTTTCTGGCGCGGAAAGGTTGCAGGGCCACCTGGAATGTCGATGGCATCACCCTCGACTTCCTTAGGCTAAATGGAGGTTTAGAATATTCCATTGCGCAGTGATATTCTTAAAGTAGCGTGTTGTTTACATACTTTGTTCGTACTTGCTTGGGTTTCCCATGTTATCACTGTGCGAGATCTCGAGCTACCCGAGTTCATTG